TTGGGAGCAGTGGATGGGCGCAAACTGCAGCCAGCAGAGGTGTGCAAGGGAGAGGGCGGCAGTCCCGAGACACGGGGCCGCCTCCAACCCTGCCTAGACCCTCTAGGTGAATCTCCAGGCCTGGTGGTCACTAGGGGACCAACAGGGAGGAGGCGGGGCCCTCTATCCACTCAGGTTCTAACGAGGAGTCCACTGAGGCACAGAACGGAGGGAGAGGGCCACGGGCAGGGGGGAGGCGGGGGGCGGACGAGAAAAAAGCCGCCAGTGATCAGGTCCAGGCGGGGGCGCCACAGCCCAGGCCCTATTGGCTGGAGGGTGCTAGACGCGACCTGAGAGACCCAAGTGCAACCACGTGCGGAAGCGCCTGGGAGAGAGCTGGCATGGTCCTCGGACTGTTTGTTTGTTTATTTGGAAAATGAGAGCCAGGTGAAACTGTTGCAAGGTTCTCATTGGGTGTGATAGGAGCCAATGGGAGCGTCTGGGAAGAAGGCAGCTATGAATTAATGAGTTTGGGGGCAGGAGGGGAGTTTAGAAGCTAAGGGGCGTGGCTTGGGTCACCGGTTGTCCGGTTGTCTAGCATTCAGGTGGTAAACAACCCTCTCCAAGTAGCTGTTAATGGTAGTGATACACTCATGAAAGTCCTGAGCTACGGTGACTTGGGGACAGGACCCAGCCAAGCGACCTCTTTTTCTCCCTGTGTCCCTCACATAAACTCTCTATTCCTATCACAGTCTGGTCCACTCGCTCCCGCGGAGCATGGTGAGCTGGACGTCTTTTGAAAAAGTGTGGACATCCCCCTGGAAACGTGTTAAGGACCAGGGCTCTCAGAACACCGCCCACCGCGCTGCAGGCACTCCTGAGCCCGCTTCAGCCCTGACAAAAACCCGCGGCTCTAAAGCATACGAGTAATATCGATGCCTTCAAAGTGAACGTAATCTTTAACCAGGGCTCATTTCTAGCCCAGGAAACGCAGGTTGCCTAAGATGGTGTTTCTGGCTATTTGATTAACAGTGACTGAAAACACAAATTTGGGGGCCTGCAACGTATACAGCCATGTGGGG